CTGCTGAACTTAATAACAGGTAGTACAAAAACTAACTGGACTGAAACACTGTTCCTGCATAGAAGGAGTACACTGTTAGAGCAGTGCTACTAACCACTTTATTTGGAAGGTGACAGAGGTGTGCTAAGAAATACCAGAAACAGTAAGAGAGAGGAAAACTTAATAAGTGAGCGACATCAGTCGTTTCTATAGAAACTGGAGGAGTGTTACCTCAGGGCTTGACACAGAAACTAAATTTGTAAACACTACAAATGACTTGCTTATGGCAAGTAATCACAGACCCCATAGGAAGAGAAAGAACTCTTGGTCCCCTTCCAAGCAGCCACTCAAAAAGCCACTCTTCAATAGTGGCACAAGTTCAATGTCCAAAAAAATGTGCTATGCTAATGTATAAGTAAAAAAGGAACTATATAAAATGAATAAGTCTCCAAAAGGAAATTAAAAGGAGCAGTTGAAAGGGTTGAAGCTTTCCAGGCACAAGGAGCTTCTTTAAAATCTTAAACTCAGAACAGTACATATGTAAGATATCCCCCAAAATGCCACCTGTAAGAAAACATCTTTTTGCAGCTCCCAATGCAATATTTTTAAGAAAGGCCAATACCATCCTTTTTTAACCAAAGATGAGAAGGAAGCCTCCTAAAAAGTCTATGGAGCTGACTAGTAATGCAGATATGAAAGGACACCTTTTGCTCAAGGAATCTAATGACAGTAAAAAAATGAAGTGCTTGCTTGCTTGCAGTGGAGTTCATTACAGGGGAACCTACTGAAGGGTGAGTTAGAGGAGTTGTCCTAGATCTGAGTTTAAAACAAATAATCCAAAAGAATAAGACTCATATCTGAAACAGCATTCAAACAGTATTCTACAGGGTCCCATAAATTGCAGTTGAAATCGAAGTTGCAAAACTACTAACTGTGGTGTGTGCTGAACTAGCTTGCTTGCAGTAGACATACTGGTAAATGATACACTAAGAAGAGTCAAAATGGCTTTTTGGTAGAGGGACATCATGCTTCTGATGATTCAGTCAACATCACTGTGCTATTGTGTAAAAGATCCTTGATCTGCTCAGTCCTGAATATTGTGTGCGGGACCCCCTATCTTACAAAAGAGTGGAGTAAAAATGAAGAGGTATATTCTTAATCTTAGAAAATATAGGGGAGGTATGCTAGAAATCAATAAAATTGTGACTATTTTGGCAAAGGTGAGATGAGAATGGATATTCTTTATTTTTTCTAAAGCAAGAACAAGGGGGGAACCCATCTGAACTATTTGGAAGCAGTTTATAAATCAAAACAAAGCAAATAAACATAGTTTAATTGTGTAACTCATTGCCACAAGAAGTTTTGAAAACCAAAAGGATAAATAGATGCAAATAGTTGTTGTACAAATTCATGTAAGAAATGTTCAGAAACAGCTATTAAAAACAGTGATGTGCACATGGCTTTCAGTTCAGGAAATCCATAAGAACCAGGTCATTGGAACTTGGCAGCATATAGGGTAAAATAATCCATGGAAGTAGAATATTTAACTTCTTTCTTATTTTTCCTAAGCATCTGCTACTGATCCTATTAGGCACAGGAGAGTGGACTGGGCAGATCTTTGATCTGGTGTATTTTTATGTATAGATGACAAAATTTAATTGTTACTTTTTAGCCAAAATAATTAAATAACAATTTGTTCAGTACTGTGATTGATACTGCTCTTTATCTTCCAAAAATAGTGTCTTATTGGAAAATTGACAGACTGGACTCACATGAAAGTATCTAAAATACAAGTATAGTAGATACATTGGCAGAGTAGACATTGTCTTTTACCTGTTAATTAAAAAAAAAATTGTTTAGCCACATCCTAGCACATGGTGTTAATTGTGTATTCCCTACTTTAACTGATGTAAAAGGTTTTGCAAGAGAACTCTATGAGGGAATAACTCCCTATTCCACCTATGGGCATAACACACCACATAGAGCCTCCATATGAACCAGAGAGTGTGTTTTTTGGAATACTTGTTCCTTGTGATGGATAGTGGGACTATGCAAGGTAGCAACCAGAAAGGCATTCCTGGGCATTTTGTTATGCTAACAGGTGTTGAGGTGTTGTGACTCACTTGTGCACTGCTTTCAGAGCTTTTCAGAGCTGGTGGTGTTGAGCTTCTTTGGCAAAGCTTGCATACTTCCGAGTGTGTTGAAAATCCAAAAACGAGATAGGCTGTAGAACAAGAGGCTTCTGTTGATACAATTAAATAATAAGTGAAATAAGTTCAAGGCACAGATTTCTAGGGTAAAATAATCTGTTTTTCCTG